TGGTGTGAAACTAGAGTTAATTGAAGGGCAGAGTGGAGATCTGTTGTGTCCTCGGATGAGAGCAGTGTCTTGGTGCCAAATGGCCATATGTTTGGTTAGAAGGAGTGAATAGATGTGATGCATGCTTTTGATAGATGTAGAAGCAGGCTATCCACTGCATACATGCATTGTACCTATACCAGAAGCACTCTCTTCGTCATCTCGCACACCTAGTCTGCAAATTTGTATGCAAGACTGGTGGTTTTACTGCCATTCTTGAGCAATATTCAAGGAGGCATTTTCCAACAAGATAACACTCACCCCCATACTGCTGATATCACCCAAAATTTTCTGAAGAATGTCAACTTGTTGCCTTGACTTTGCAAGATCACCTGATATTTCTCTCATAAAGCATGAATGGAATGTGATTGAATGACAGATTGTTGCTGATTTGATTGACCAAATGCAACAGGCATGGAACTCTATCCCACAAAATGACATTCAGCACATGCATACTTTAACCTGTGATCGTAAAACATTAATCAAATAAATATGTTACCTAGACAAATGCTTTGCATACATTTCATTCCTCTAAACTAATTTCTTCTTGGTGTTGGGATTTCATTTTCCATCAGTTTATTTGAAAAAAATTGAACACCATAAAGCACTTTACAGTGTTATTCATTAATAGGGTTCAATATCAAGGGACAGTAATACTTAACATTATTCAAACTAGTTTAGTTTTATGCTATTTAACTAACATGTTCTAAGTTACCACTGAAAATTACAGAAACTGACTACAAATTCTTCAGAATAAAGCTGTTAGAAGTCTCACTAATGCTGCATACTTCTTCAAGAACTGAAAAGATTGATGATAGCATATTTTGTTGCTGATTTGGGAAGTTCTGGAATTAACTAATTATAATGATTTAGGTATAACTTTGTTGTTTGTATTATGGTTAATTAGTGTTAAAGAACTAAAAGTTCATGAAGCTACTTATTGATAATAATCATTATTGGGGGGGATATTATGTGGCTATTGGAGTGAAAGAAATCTGTTAATAGTAGTACTGTACTTGTATATTCATTTTAGGAGCTTAGAAAATAGCTGGGATTAATCACTTGATGTATTAACTTATCAGGTACAAAGGATATAAAAAGTACATACAATGGTAGCCTGATAGGATTTTATTTGTAAAATGATTATGTACAACACATGGCATCAACAATATATGTAGTGATGTAAAAATAAATTTTTTCCTGATCTATTTCGTTTTTTTTTTTTTTTTTTCTCCACATACTATTTTGTACTTATGAAAGCATTTTTATGCTGACTTTGTATTGTGTACATGTTTTGTATTTTAAAATTTCTTTAGTTTATATTCTGCTATGCCATGAATATATGCTTGGCATCAACTTAGCAAGACTAAATTTTTTTGTGTAGTGATCATAAAGGACTGAGGGGCATAAAGTCGACAATTTATCTTTCTTTAATTCTGAAGCTCATAATTTTCAGTGATTGAAGCTAATATGATTGAAATATGTTAAGCAGTTGTGAACAAATTTTATATTCAACAGTTAATCACAACAGGTGGTGCATCCATTGTGATTGATATGAAAGTAAGATTTGCAGATCTGTTTGCAAATTAGTTCAATCGTCCATTGTTATATTTTCATATACATGAGGAGACTGTATATGTAAAACCTAGTCTACAAAGGAACTTCTGAATTGGATTACTTGAACATGACAGAGCACACTGCCAATGAGAAAAGATGTCTTCCTGGAGGACCTTCTGAAGGAAATTGGTTTCATCTACATCTCACTGGAATTATAAGAAGAAACCATATCCAGGACTGCTAATTCATTTCTGTATGTGATATAAATAAAACATAATTCTAAGAAATTTTTTTTAATGTGTGTCTCTCTCCTTTTTTTTATTTGTGTGTTTGAACTTTAAAAACAAAACAAAATATATTAAATCAATTGTTGTGTACTGTTTTGCTGATTTAATGAATTATTTATATCTTAAAATTGTATGTCTGATATTATAGTAGCTAGAATTACATTTATAAGCTAAAAGATGAAAAAAAATAAAGTTTTCAACATAAGGAGGATTTTAATTCAAAAATTTTTCTAATCTTTGCTCTCATTATATCTTGTATGACTTAAAAAATCATAATACGGTATTCTTTAGTGTTACACTGTGGTATAATTTTTTATTAGTTAAAAAACTGTATCATAATTATAAATACACCAAACAGTATATATTCTAGATTTTTGGTGGCACATGGGAAAATTTTGCACCAGTAATTTGGCAATTTTTTTCATTCAAACGTATTTTCTGCTAGACTACAGTATAGCGTGCTAAACTAAATTATATTGATGTTTTTAACATTCGTAATACATTTTATGTACGCGAGACAAAAGGAACAAAAGTTTGTCTTTGATGGACTTGTCAATACACAACAATGGCCGCACATAGTGCAGCTTTTTTGCAATTACGAAATGACAGATTTAAACGGCGGCATCTCGTCGACTTCGTATGAATAACGCAAAAATGGTGCAATCAGTGTACAAAGGAACGTGCAATTTTTACGCCACAGATGACGATTTGAGCACTTGACAGAATTCCAAAATGCTATATATGGTGACATATATGTGGTGGTCCTATTTTATTTATTTTATCCTCGAAACGAAAATCGCAGAATGGTTGATATTGTTTGGGTTGTATCACTGATAGTATTGGCAATAGTTGCCACATGAGGAGTTTGTTTTAATATATTTAATTATGACAAACCACTCTAAGGCTAGTTTCCTAAGGGGAGAGATGCCTTCTTGGTTTACTTTTTGAGGGAAACTGGTTCATAGTGCACTGCGTAAAAAAAGGGGGGTATAGTTCTATATCTCCCGTTCTACTGGGCCGATTGATGAAATTCAGCTTGCGTTTTTCATGTCTCGAAAGCGCGATTTAGGATATGCATTAGAATTATATTTAGCATTGTCACCTAATAGGACCACCACATATATGTCACCATATATAGCATTTCACCTACTAGGTGGGTCACCGTTGCCTCCTATGAAGAGTCAGACAATTTACATCCATGCCTTCTCCAGGATTCAAATCGGGGTCCTTCGATAGGGCAGTCAGAGTCACTAACCACTTTCCCATCTGGGCGACTGACGCTACTTTATTAAAATGAAGATTTGATATTGAAGATGAATGATTTTACACATGGGTTACCGTGGTTACACTTTTGACCAGAGTTAAAATTACGGTCAGCCCAGTGAGGAAATCCATCCTCTCCACGACCTAAAAATTTTGACATGTGCATAGATGAAATAAATGATGGTGTCTGCCTAGGATTTCCAAGAAGTCGTCACCGAAGACAGAGTTTCATGTAGAAAAAGTGTGACTGCAAACATTTTGCAAAAAAAGAAAGGTGCAAAAATCAACAGCCCTTGCTTAGGGATGGACATGAGAAGGTTGTAACCAAATAAGAAATTTTACCTTATCCAACATAAAGTCCACAGATGAGTCCACCAGATCTTAAATATGTGTTTAGTTTGGAAGAGCTCCCCTGCTGATAGGTTTCTTTAGCGACTGCCCAAACCATTTGAAAACTGAAAATAGAAGTTCCTACATAGAAGAGCTAAGCACTTAATCGCGGTTTTTGAGAAGCAGGGCTATACATTAATTGCAACGAGAAACTGTGTAAATTAAATAAAACATCATTTGGGGGGAGGAAGAAAGCGATTTCTATTTTGATCTGGAATTGTATTTTAAACTTAAAATGCAGGCAAATCGCACTTAGGGCGAAAAAGAGTCTCAAGCGGTTGGCGAGCCGCAATTTGTCCATGCCTATAATATATCGAAGTGCATAATGTATTACGTCTTTTGTTGATTTGGTAATGATGGAAGTGTTCATAAAAGTTATCATTTGTGGATACATTATAAATTATATCAATTAAATATATCAAATTCTGACAATCAAGTTATGTTATTTAATGTATAAAATAAAGACTCGCATTATTAAATACGTTTGCTGTCTTTTAAACCGCTCAGTTTGGTAAGCACTATAATTATAATTTGAAAGATCTTGCTAATGTTGACGTTCGTGCCAGGAAAGTTCGATTTCCGCTTTAGGGAAGAAAGAATATTTATCCTGTCATATTAAAAGTGAGTTAAATGTTTATCACTTCCAAACTTTTAAAACTTTGTATTCTGAAATTTTATTATTAGTTCTGTGTAGAAAGGTTTTAGGAAATCTCAAAACTACAGATGAACGTGACTATTTGTTTGTGAAAGATGTATTAAAATTTAGTCTTGAAATGAGAACATTTTCCAACCATTCATAATAAGTGCATAACATGATGTAATAGCAAAAATCGATAAATAAAAAGACACTTACATGAAAATGTTATCTATGAAATGAATGTTTTCATATTCAAAACTCGGCAAAATTTTAATTTTTCCGTTTTGAACTCGCAAACAGTATTTCAGTTATAAGAATTAAAATTTATACTCTTAATAATACGCGAAAATAAAGTATTATGTATTTTCCAATTTTACTTAATAAAATTATCTTAGGATAGAACAAAAGTAGGGGACGTTACACGTAATTATAAACACAGAGCTTTTGGCTTTAAGTGAATAATAAAAAATATTAATAAAACTAGAAAGTCTAACAAAATATGTTATAATTCTGCGTCATTTGTTGCGGAAAGAATATTCTCATCTTTAAAAAACAAATGTTTTCATATAGCTGGAAACAAAGAAATGAAAATAATATTTCTCGCTATTTATTAAATATTCTATGTACTATATATAGTATGTGAGTAACTGAAATTTTTTAGATAACACAAACGATAAGTGACAGAAAACAAAATGAATGGTTAGATTTGAAAATATGAACTATTTTAGCCTAACAGACGACTTTTATTCGCCATTTGGAAGTAGTTCATCATAGAGTACATTTTAATCAGAAAAAAAAGATGGAGTTGATGCAAGAATATTATCGCGCTACAATTTTCTATGATTTTAAAGTTGTATTAAATCAGAGTTTCAACGTGTACAGTTAGCATTTGGAAATGAAGGTCCATCTCGTACTACTTTATTCAGATGGTTTACAGAATTTCATAGAAGTGGAAATTCCCTTCAGGATTAAGAACACACGGTAAAGCCGTTGTCAGAAGTAATCCCGGATAATGTATCTGCCATAGGAAAAATGTTAATCGATGATAATCACCGCACCTACGAAATGATACAGAAGGAATTGAATACTGGATTCACCGCCATACGTAGAATTATTTATGAAGGTATGAAATTATTCATATATTTTTTTCTTAAAGAAGCTATAAATTCATTTTTTCATCGATTCCAAGGAATGAATTCCAATCCTAATATTTTGTTAAGTAAAAAACCTATGTGTATCTCAAAATATTTCAGAGTGACCCTCGTATTATCATGTAAACATATTCTTGTTCAGCCTTGTGATTCATTATACATTATGAGGCGGCTTTTTGGAAAATGACTCTTATTTTTATCTTCAAAACTCTTTTTTTTTTTTTTTTTCATTTAATTGCTTTTCGTCGTTCTATGCTAGCTGGAATTTTGCCTTTAAAAGTGATTAAAAGTAATCTGGAAATATGATAATTATTAACAATTCAGTTCTTATGTCCGTCATTTTACATTTTAATGTTTATTGCTGGGGCCAATATTTTTTTTTTTTTTTTTTTTTGTTAGGGAAAGTTTGTTGTATTTTTACCTCGCAATGATTTTAGCCTTAAATTGAAAAACTATGGTGGGAAAAGATTGATGCATATTTCATTAATGACTGTCATGTATATCAAGGTATAAAGAATATAATATTCAAAATACAGTTCCTATTTTATTTACTGGAACTCCGACGAAACATAGCAAAAACTTGTTAAGACAAATTTTTTGCTTCAGCAGTAGAAAATAATAATAATAATAATTAGATGGCAAATCGGCCGACTTGTTATCCGGATAACAATTTTTGATTATGTAATTCAACCTCAGTTTTAGGAAATATAACAAAAACTCATATAAGTACAAAATTAATATTAAGCATATGTATTCTCATTTCTAATTTTGCATTGCAATTACATTAGGCGTACAAAAGAATAAGATTAGAAATATCATACGATGCAAAGACCAATTAATTGGCTATAGAACAAATTATTCTTGGTTAGTGAGAAAGGAAAGATGTTTCAATCGGTTCCAGGAAAAAAACAAATTTTCCTTTCAGTAACATTTGGGAACAGCGATTTTAGAAAGTTTTCGGGAGATAATGCTCTTTAAGCAGGATGTGACATTCTTTTGAATTTCAGTTTCGAGTATTTTGAATGAAATAGATCGAAGGTATATTACCTGTTGCCATGGATTAAAAAAAATAATCAAATTACCAAAAAAACTAAGTTATACTAATAGTTTTCATTTATTTAGGAAAATCGCATTCCCTTTTTTGTGTTTGTTTCTAATATCAAAATGACAAAAATATTTAGTACGTTTGATAATGGTTTGTACTCGTGCTGCTGTCCCAATGTAACAAACATATGAACATCTAAGAGATGATTTAGATAGCGATGAGTAGAGATTAGAGTTGGACAATCCGCTACGGAATTGATTCGAGGCAATGATTCACTTTACTGAGCGAATTTACTACGATTCCAGAAAACGGTATTGTAGATCTTTTACAGTTCACGGACAGCTGTTGTTGGAAGCGCGCATGAACAGAATCTGCTATTTGTTCACGATCTGATGCATTTTACTGAGCGAGTGAACTAGCAGCTCTTGTTGGAAGCGTGCTAAGAAAGTTCGATTTCCGTTTTAGGGGAGAAAGAATGTTTTTCCTGTCATATTAAAAGTGAGTTAAATAAATGTTTATCACTTCGCAACTTTTTGAAAAATTTGTATTCTGAAATTTTATTGCTAGTACTGTGTAGAAAGGAGGTTTAGGAAATCTGAAAACTGCAGATGAAAGAAATCACTTCCGGGAAATAATGTTTGATTGAGTCGATTCTTCCGATCCCACTGCTTGTTCGATTCTTTTCACTGTTCTCTGCAACTTCGCTAACCGGTCCCGATCCCACTGCTCTTTCGATTCTTTCCGATTTTTGCTCCGTTCTCACTAGCCACACGATTTTTGCTTCGTCCTCACTTGATTCAATCTTTATTCCAGAATAGAACTTTCCTGGCTCGCTTCCAGGAAGAGCTCTTGTTGGGTGAACTTTAAAAAGGTTCCCCTCTTTTTTTGCGAAACAGGGGTTCGCTCGCTCAGTAAAGTGATTTGGGCGTAGCCCGGGCCGCCCAGTAAACATAAATTCTATTTATGATGAAAGCTCAGTAAAATAACTAGTTCGTGAACGAATAGCACAGCTCTCTTCTTGCCATGCTTCCAACAGGAACTCTGTGAACTCTAAGGCCCGTCAGCGACGAGCGATAAAATCGCTGAACAGCGGTAGCTTGATCTCAGGCGAATAGGTTTTTGCTTTTTTTGTGGTTTCCCCCATGTGTTACGTGGATATGAGTTACTTTCCCTTAAAAAATCCTCCACGAAGGTATTTCTTCCGTTTGGTAGATAGCTATCGTGTGCTCTGCTGTACTCGACTAAACCGTGAACAGTAAAAAAGCTGCCACTCCGTTTCCTGAAATTGCAGATCATTCATTGCGTAAAATGAATTACTTCTTTGAATCAGTTCCGGAGCGAATCGGCCAGCTGTATTCAGTATCGTAAGATGGACTGCGATAATGAGTTATAATGTGAAAAGCGGTACTGAAGGTCGTGATCAAATGTATACGTAATGCAATGCATGGTCAAAAGTAGATTGCTTGTTTTTAAGCCCAAAAGAGATGTTAGTCCGGAATGGGATATTTGTTTCGAAACGGCATTTTGCGTCGAATCATTATAAACGCGTATCATTTTTCAAATTGTTGCCACCAAATATAATCGCCTTGTATTATATTTTTTAAGAAATTAAATAATGAAGAATTTGCAAAATGTATTCTCGCACTGTGGGAAAAAAAAAGGTACCTAGAGCCATCAAATTTTGAATAATGTAGTTCTCCACTCCAACATGGGCATCTGAAAGCCCGACTTTAGAATTTCGAACTTGTTTCATTATCTCTTTCATATTTTGTAAAACTTTAATGAATTTTTGATTAAGAAACTCACCGATTTCGAAGCGAGCAGTGGCAACACTATATAAAATAAAACTCTTTTTTTTTTTTTTTTTTTTTTTTTTAAATCTGTACCGCGCGAGTCTATCGAAAATTCTAAAAATATGCTGGTGGTTTTTTTTAAAAATATTTTGTGATTTTGGTGTTGAATTGAATTTTATGTGGTGTAAACACCAAAATGTGGTATTTAATAAATAAAGTGAACAGACAAAACGTAAGTAAATAAGAAGACAACAAAAGTTTCGTAAAGGTATCTTAGTAAGAAAGCTGAACATTGACATCATGAACTGAGAAAAACAGAACACTCAACCAACACGTAACGCTCATGTCACCACGAAACTCATGTCAACACTTAACGCTGCATCGAGAATTCTAAACACATATTGCTATGCTGCATTTAAAATTTTTGTAATTTTGCTGTTGAATTTTACATGGCGTAAGTACAAAGAAAATGATGCTTAATAGTAAAGCTAAAAAGATTTTTTTTTTTAAAGGGTTAGTAAGAATGAGTGTAACAGCAGACTGGTTGACTGCGAGCTCAGCGAGAGCGTAAGAAACTTTAACAAACTCTTTTGGGCCAGCGTTAAAATCTGAAACCTTTCCGTTTTTTTTCGGTTGGGGGGGGAGAGGGATTGTCAAGAGCTTAAATTGGCAAACGATCAGTGCTGTACGTGGTCAAACTCTTACGCAGAGACTGACTAAGGCAGGGGCATACGAAGCAGTTGCCCCGGGTCCCAAATTGAATAAAAAAAGGTACCTTTATTATTATTTAAATGCCTCCATAAAATTCGGTTCTTCATCACTGAAGTAGTGAAGCAGAGGGGGCCCCAAAGAAGTCACTGGCCCGGGCCCCAATTAGGCTAAGTCGGGCCCTGCTCTTACGTGAAACTATATGTAACTGTATTAGGAACCTGAGTAATGAAAATGTAAAGAAAAAGAATGAGTTGTGGTGAATCAGTAATGAGGCTTACAGCAGCTATCCAATTTGATACTGACAAATGGAATCATCGATGAGCATAAAATGTGATTTTGTGAACACATTTTGACCAAGAAACTGTACACACAATAGTGTATACAGATTTGAAAATGCGCAAAATTTTTATTCAGATGGTGTCCCCTTTCCTGCCCTGAAGAAACAGCAACATGTGTGTGTGTGATTATGGCAAAGCCTTGAGGACTATCTGCCTAAGGGGAGGGATGCCTTCGTGGAGGACTTTCTAAGGGAAACTGGCTCGTATACACGTTACACATGGGGAAAACCACGAAAACGCCCATACAGCCAGCCCGTTCGCGGGATTCGAACCTCGGACCGAACTACCAGTGTTCAGCGACTTTACCGCTCGGCCGCTGGTGGGCCAACATGTGCTAATATAGTAGGTCGAAGGGGTTCCCAGACATGTGCTATTCAAAGCACGCGCCCGAACCCGTATACGCATATCGACGCCCGAACCCCTAGATCCAAGGGGTCACTAACTCCGAGCCAAGCGTGGGCGACAATTTCGCATACAGTGTGTGTTTTAAAAGTCAAGGGCAACCGGCTGCCACGCAAAGAGCACGGAAAACTAAGTCCACAAGTGACTTAGTTTTCCGTCCCCCAGTGCTGTCCAACGAAGAGGCAAAGCTCCAAGGACAAGCTTAAAATACGAGGGCTTTTTTTTTTCAACCTCCGATGGGCTATAAAGAAAAGACGGGTGAATATACAAAACAGATTTTATTACCAAAAGTAATGTACTATACAGGTTATTTCTCTACATAATCACCTTGACGACTGAGGCATTTGTCATATCTGTGAACAAGCTTTGCAATACCCTCTTCATAAAATGTCCTCGCCAATGATTGGAAGTGAGTTGTGACGGTTTCTTTCAGCTCCACGTCATTTTGGAAGCGCTTTCCGCACAGCCACTGCTTCAACTCAGGAAACAGATGAAAGTCACTCGACGCTAGGTCGGGACTATATGGTGGATGTTCGAAAATGTCCCATTGAAATTGCCGAAGGAGTCGTTGGGTTACACGAGCGCTGTGAGGACGGGCATTGTCGTGGATCAGAACAATTCCAGAAGTCAGCATGCCTCTTCGTTTGTTTTGAATAGCTCCCTGTAAGCGTCGCAAAGTTTCA